TCGAACCGCTTAATCGATGGCGCCCATGCGCAAAACGCAACTTTCTTATTTTTGAAGCAATCTAAACGAAATTCTAATAAAGCCAAACAAAATGCATGCGCAAAAACCTGCTGCACATGCGCAAACCGCAACTTTCATATTTATGGCGCAATCCGCACCAAATTTTGATGGTAGATCACTCTAATAAAAGAAAATAAAACGCATGCGCAAAAAACATGTTGCAGATGCACAAAAAAAAACATGTTGCGCACGCGCAAAACGCAATTTTCCTATTTTCGGTGGTATTTGTTAGAAATAAACTCACTCTAGCGGAGATTTAAAATGCGACGCATTTTTACCAACCTATAATACGATGAGATTGACTAAAAAAGAGTTCACCAATATATTGGTCCTTTTTGAGGCGAAACAAATTTTCCCGCTTTTTTTTCCTTTTAGAATACGACAGACAAAATGTGCGTCATCGCACCGAATTCGGCGAGGGATACCAAAACGGCGTTATTCGTTTTTCATTAATTAAATTTCACTTTATTAAAGAATATTAAGTAAATGAATTATTACAACAATTAAATATGTCAAAAAGAGATGAGGTTTTCATAGGAAATAAATTCGGCAGTTTTATAGCAACCCCAATGTAGAAAAATACATACAGGTACGTACCAGTTATGTGTTTCTCGTATTGGTATTCTTCAAAATATTGCTTTCCATCCGAAATTTAAGCGAAAATTTTAATAAACAAGCAGTCTCATATATCTTCGATCTTTCATTTTAAGCCATTCATTCTTCTGTCAATTTGTACCAGCTGTTTTCTTATACCATAAATAAGACAAACACGAATTTGAGAAAAACAAGTGCTTGCCAGAGTACTATCTTGGTCTTTTGCGACAAATATCGGCGATTTGTATATCAATTCTAAATATGTATGAGCTCGCTTTACCTATTTATTAATCTCCGATGTAAATCTGTTGTCTGTCATCACATCTAGGTTGGTAACTTCGAATTTCAGAGGTATATCAATATTATTTAGGTATTCTCACTTTAATACGGCTTTTAAGGAAATTGCATTCGTGATGTTTTCCAAAGATTACTACAGTCAACTAAGGCAGAAGAAAACGAAACCTTTAGTAGATTGTTCACTTATTAAACCTTGCGGTTCTACCCGCTAGGTTCAGACCAAACTGTGATCAAATACGGTTGCAAAGCCAATAAACTTAAATTTCGTTTGTGATAAAACCGTGATGCTTTTTAACTTATTTTTACACAATTGGCGCACCTTCCATAAATGCTTCGTGCTAATAATCCCACTCTTTTCAAGCCCTTTGAATGATTTCATTTTACGTCTGTCTATCACGATCTGGTGCTGATGTTTTCGTCTTTTCCAATCAACAAAAATAATTAGTCTGGTAATTGAGATGACTACGATGTCGTATAGATTTGATACCGCAGAAGATACATAGACGGTCTCCTTAAATTTAAATTACTTACATGTCGCACACTTTACTGGCATTTACTGTAAAACTCAATATTCAGACAAATTGGATTTCCATTACATTATCGTGTTCTATTCGGATGGCTTATGCCATTAATACCCAGGTAGCACACTGTCGTCAAAATGGCGTCAATTTTACCTACCATGTAATCACCACGTACGTCATTTGGAAGGTCAAAAAGACGTTTATATCACCCTAAATAGACGTACTATTGACACAGGTAAAATGACGTTATTCATTGACGTACTATAGAACGTCATTAGTGACGTCCTATTAGACGTCTTCAAAACGTTGTATGGACGTTCTTGGTGACGATTTTGAATTGTAATGAAATAAATTTATAATGGAAAAACGTATATTAAAAATAAAAAAATACACTCTAGAAATAAACTAAATGGATAATAAAGTAATGCACAAATCTATTTTCTATTTAACAAATTAGAATTAGAAAAATTCGTTTTAAAATACATTCTATGCTTTAATTTCATCGAAGGTGTGGATTAATGGGAATGAAGCCCAATTATTATTTTTTGCAGGCAGTACTAAACACTTTCCCATAACTTCATCAAGAGAGCTTATTTCAATATTATGTGATAAATCGGATAAAAGATAGATATTTAGATCTTTCGAGTTTAAAGGATAGGTGTATATAGAATTATATGTCTGAAAAAATTTGCCAACAATTAATATATTATCTTGCATTAAAATGATATTTTGAATTTGCAAAACTTTTCCTTTATTTGTTATACAATAGGAGTTTGCTTTTGAATAAGAATGAACACAAATTTCAAAACCCTTATGGAAACACTTGAGAAATTGTTTGCAATTATCAGCTGCAATTTGTGGAGGTACTGGTCCTGAATCATGAGGAAAAAGCATATTTGCGGGTGGATGCATCTGATTTACATTAAAACGAATATTTTGTATTTCCTGTATTCTACAACAGGCCTGCTGTAGTGTGTTGGTAGGTGATCTAATCAAACGTTTAATTTGCCCCAGAAAATTTTCAAAAGGAAAACAAGAAAATTGATCCAAAGGCCCATATTTAATTACATCATCAGATAGATGTAATAAAATATGAATATTATAAATTAAAAACTGGGATCCATATAATTTCTCACAATGTTTCACAAATGTATTTAGCAATTCATTAGCATATGAACATCCAAATTTTGATATCAAATGTTTTGAAGATAGAATTAATATTGCGACATGAAATAGAAGGAAATGTTCATAAACAGCTTTATGTGTGTTACTATTTAAAACAACTGCTCCTAAATATAATAAGAATGTGCGAAATTCAGTTGCTTTCCACCTTTGAACTTCACTAAGTGACCGGGGCTTCCTATTAAAATCAGAAGGAATATGTTGCTTCCATGAAATTAACATATTAGAAATAGCATTCACCTTTTGATTGGGCAACCTTGTTGTTAACGCACCATTTAACCAAAAACAAAGTAGTTTCCTCATAACACCTAAACAACAGGCATGCATGTAATCTATTGGGAACACAGAGACTAATCCAATACCTAACTTTAATAACGGAGAAATTCCGGTATGATGGTCTTCGTCCTGCTGAAGAAGAAATGAAGAATCTGTTCGCTTTGAAAAAGAGTCAGTTTCAAAAATTATTCTACCGTCTTTATATTTGCCAGGATTTGTACATTTTTCACAGCTTGAATATCCGCTGTGTGATTTTATATGTTTAATAAAAGCTCTGGCTGGAGCATCACAAAGAAAGCTATGCACACTAATGTTATAAACTTTGGAATTATATTCAAATCCATTATGTATTATTAAATTTAATTCTTCAATAAAATCATTTAAAAACAATTCCAAGGGTTTTGGTTTTGATGTACCCGAAAATATGCCCACAACGAACGGTTTACTCTTAAAATTTTTTACAAGTGCTAATATTGGCCAGAATTGTTGATTTGAACTTTTAAATAGCGGTATACCATCAATATTAAAACTAATTTCTATTTTATCTTTAATTTCAGAAATTGTTGAAAGTACAAATGAAAGACCAGTTTTTAACCCAAAATAATAAAACTGACCATCTCCAACTTTGGTAGTATTAACTTGTCTAGGCGTTCCCAATAAGGTTTTAGAACTTAGCGGAAGTTCTGGATGAAAGCGATGTAATATATGTAATAAACTGGTAATAGCTATATGTGGGATATTAAAAGTAACACACCAATGCATTAAGCTGACCAGTAAAGATGGCTCTAAAATATCCTGTGAAGGAAGTAAAAATGGATAATTGGTCTGAGAGTCGTTGGCGTTAGGATTTTCATTATTGTTTGCAACAAATTCCTCATGTAAAAATGGATGTAATATAGGCGAGTTAATTTCTCTAAGAATAGAGTTGGGATTTTCAGGTACAGAAGATGTTGACGGTAGTGGTGTACTTGATGAAGTATTGTTAAGTGTTTGTTGAACTGACTGTGCCACCCTACGAAGAAATTGCCGCTTACCAACAATAGGTTTTAATTTACGCCTTATCCTTTTGTGCATCTTTCTTTTTCAATCTTTCTTGTGAGTGTTTCAACCACACTTTGATGGTATCTTCAACCTCTTTATCGGATGCGTTAGGAAACCCCTTCTTTACAGCACCTTAAACAAAATAGCATGGATTAATATAAATGGTAAACGAACTTGTGATGACTAAATCCTTCAATATTAAATCGGAGAATGCTCTTTTAATTGATCTTTGGCCATAGTAATTAAATTTAGAGCTAACACTATCGGATAGAACCAGGGGAGAGTCGGTGAATTGTGCGCATCTAAGCGATAAAATTCGTATTTTCCAAACTATTGTAAATTCAACTCTTAAATTTGGTAGTATTGTTCTCTGTTATGTTGGTTATTACCCAAATCAATCAAAAATGATTTAAATATTCATGTTGATGATAGGGAAAAAATAAGAGGAAAAGTGGCACTGCGCATGATTATCCACCCTATGCGGTTAATTGTGCGCACCAGGTGGGGTAATTGTGCGCAAGTAGAAAAACATTAAGAGGAAGGTGTATAATCAATACGAGGTACATTTTATTTTACTGAAACATTCTATGACCTTTGAAATGTCACCTAACGGTCGCAAAAGTCACAAACGTAACCTTCTGCGGAATCGACACCACTACAAAGCTCATGCGCCCATCTGGAATTCCAAATTTTCTACCTGCTTCTCTAATTGTCCCACCATTTGTAATAAACAATAAGGCTTTTCTCATTTGACTAGCGTCCCAGGAGGCTTTATTGGATTTTCGGGTATATTTTGGCATCTGTGTGAAGATAAATACCAATAGAACATGAAACATTTTAAAGTCGGATAATTGTGCGCATCGCGCACCATTAGCCGACATCTACAAAATATTTATAAAAATTCACCAAAACAAAACTACAAATGATTTATCATAAATAGCATGCTACAATAATAATCAGATCCGTATTGCATAGCTTGCTATACTTACCGAAGCAAAAACGTCCTAATTTACAAAGGTAACACTTAATTACACAAGCACGAAAATTACAGTAAATCAGTTGACTTAACCTTCAGACAATATAGTAGGCGTGTTTACCTCAAAAATAGCGCGAATTTTACCTGTAGTTCATGTAATACCTAGAAGATGTCGCTATATGTTTCACTTCGTGAAAACAAAGGACGATTCAAATAATATCATGGTGCGCACCATTTGCCGCTGCGCACGGTTATCCGACTCTCCCCAATATGTTTAAGAATTCTGTTAGCTTTTGATGAAACAGTATTACCACCCAGAGTAGCCAAATACGATCTCTGAAAATTAATTCACAAATAATTGTCCCTAGATTATAATTAAATATCATACCAAAGCGTCAAATGTTTCCACGTTATTGGTGAGATAAATATTTAGTTCGTCTAATTCTTCAACCGTTTGGATAGGCAATTTGTATGGTATATCTGGCATACCAAATGCCACAGTAACATTGATGCTCTGTTTAGCTATCCACGCTAAAATTTGATCATTTTGTTCTTTAATGGTTGAAACCAAAGCCACCAGTTTTTCTAAAATTGGGTGAATTTGTACTCAAATATATTCTGTGCATTTCATACCTGTTATAGTTAGTTGAGTTGAGGAAATTCCACTCGTTGAACCCGTCCTCGCAGTAAAATTATTTCTAATTATATCATGGTTATTTGTGGACCTGGGGGTATCTTGAGATTGTAATTGTAATTCAGTTCTTTGAACAACTATGGGTTCTGGAAAATTTGATAATGAGCATAATTAAGGAGTATAATTACAAATGTGTGGTGAAGAGATGAAAATGTAAGGGACAAACATAATACATACCAATTTGTGAGTGTACTTCAGAAGAACAGCTTGGTCTTTTTACAGGTGGGGGCCTGGAAAGCTCGAAATCATTACTGTCTTCATCATCAGATGATTGAGAAAGTTTTTTGGTCGCCTTCGATTTTCGTTTCTTGTTGCCTCTGCGATTGAGCTCTTCTTCACTTTCGAGGTTTGATGATACTTGAGCTTCTTTTGCTTTCTTTTTTGCTTTCAAAATATCATCTACAATTGTAAGACTAACATAAGCATCATGTCATGACAACAACATTTGACATTTTGAAAGCGGTGTCGTTGAAAATTTGGATTTCAGTACAAACTTTCGATTATGATGTATTGAATATTTATACAAAACTGTGTTATGGCCATATGCACAATCAAACTTAAGCAAAGTTTAGTTTAAACGTATCCATAGCAAAATTGTTAAGGCGATTGTTGCCATGGATGTTAAGCTAAACTCGGTTTAACTGACCCTACTTACGGCCATTTTTATTTCAACTAGTTGAAATAAAAATGACCATGTTTCAGTCTGGTTCAGACACTATGGAAATATGACTTGTCAATATTGAAAACGTAACCGATACTTCGGGTTCGCACGGACGCTGCACAGCAACTGCCTACTGCAGTGGATCGGGACAGCAGTCGCATGGTACGACAATGGTACTGTGCCGTGAATGTTGTGTGGTCTCATTCGTTCTTTCAGCATAGTAAAAGAATGCGGAACGTATGACTTTTTAACGTATGTCCAAATCCATGTGTGAAAGGAGCATAAAGGTAACCGTAGTATCTAAACCAGACAATACAGACAAAATACCTACTATAATCATGTAGTCATGGTCGAAACTACAGGGAAAAATTTAAAACAAGGAAAGAGAGGGAAAAAATGTTAACCTCAATACTCATAATTAGTATTTACTAACTAACCTGTTTCGTAAAATATTCTTGATACATTATACAATTGCCACGAACTTTCATCTACTGCTTCACGCTGTGACAGTGCCTTATCGAATTTACTTTGATCCTTAAATGGCGGCCAAAAAGCTTCTTTTTTCTTTGGTGTCAACCATAACGAAGGTATTGCGCAAACCCCTCCCCCATGATTATCATCAAATTCAACAATTGCGTACATAATGTGAATGCACCTGGGATCAAATAATTATTAGTTCAAAAAATTCAATTTTTATAATACCTACTTTAATTAAATAAAATAACACACGCCAAACTTTAACGATTAATAACTTGCTGCCATCTGCACTTACAGACACACTATGTGATTTGTGCACATGCCGTGCTTGAACGTTGCACGAAGCTGTTGCAAAACGTAACACGGAGACGAACGATGAGCCAGCCTAGCTTCGAAACCGTAAATGGCGCGAATTTAAAGCAGTACCTATTTCAATATTTATTACTTTGGATAATGAAAGTCTAACCAAACGCGTTGATTTTATAATCACTTTATATTTACAAAATTGTTAACTTTAATGGCTAAAGATAAATACTGATGTACGTCAATCGTACGTAAATTTGCGCCCGTCATAATGACAGTTTAAGAAAGACGTCATTTTGACCTACAGAAAGGAACGTATGACGTCTCAGACGATAAATGACTTTAAAATGTCGTCATAAAGACGAAGGGTGCTACCTGGGTAGGGACTACTCCACTATGTCAAATTTTAGATTATAGCGCCAAGCTTTTAATTTCGCATGAAAGTCAAGATCTGATCAATAAAAGTTGTTAAAAACGAATGGCGTACTAAAAGTTACATGAAAATCTGTCAACGAACTAATTGCCAATTAGGATTATTAACAGAAAAAGTTTAAAATACGGTTTGAACTTTGTTCAGGTAATTAAAAATTACCAATTTAACTGGAAAAGCTTTTAACCAATATTTGCGTTTTCATTTCGATAATTACATCGACCTATTTGAATCGAAAGGCGAAACGTATACATGCAGATAATAAACCTGTAGGGTGTAGGTGTTACCTATAATGGTTATTGATAGTGTATTGTATTAACCAAATAGCAAATAGTGAGGTATAGAAAAGATGAAAGAGAAAAAAATTTAAGGGAAAAAAGAAAAATGGCAGAGACTGTGAGACTATCTAAGGAAAGGCGTACAGGTTGACTATAACACATCTGTAAGGAAGCTCGTATTACACTGACACGCCCACGCGCACTTTTCGCCTCGTACTTTGAATTTTGGAAATATTGTTCGATAGGGACGTACAGTATACAATGAACTTAGTGTCGTCTAAATCGAGATTCAAGTGCTATATTTAAAGTGGAGGAGTGAAGTTTCGAAATATTTTCACTTTGTCTTGTGCGTCTGTACGCCGTATGACCGGAATTTTTGGATTATTAACACTTTAAGGTAATTAAGACTTCTTTTAAATGCATGATGTCGAATAAATTTGCACGATCTGTAAATGCGTAGTTGTGAGCTAAATCGAGGAGATAAGAGTTTTTATGTTAAACTTTGTACCTGGAATTACATCAGGTATGAATTAAAAATGTCTTAATTATTTCTTTAGATTTTTGGCGGTTCATGCTGCTGAATTTCTCAAATAAATTAATATAATTAATAACACAATAATTAAAAAAAACAGAAATATCTTAAATAAATAATGAAAAATATATTATCTTAAATAGCCAAGGCTTCTTTTAGAGTCGTAAATTCTCTAGGTTTGTCAATCTGTTGATCTCGCAAATTTTTCCTAGCGAGTTTCTCTCATGAGGTCTAAAGAATGTAATCTTATTACTCTACTAACAAGGATGTAATTCAAGCTATACTCTCGCAATCTTGACGCCTCAAATAATTAGGGGGAAAAAAAATGAATAGGTAATGACACGTATTTCGTTGACCGCAATTATCCAGATGAATTCTTTACATCATGATCAAAATTTGTATGGTTTCATATCAAAATTCAAAAATTTAAATCCAAAATAAAAGCTACTGTTACAGTACCCCCTTCTGTTTTTTAAAACAAAGAAAAAATGATGAGATTTGAAAAACAACAATGAAAGGAAATTCAAAAACGTCAAAAGTTCTCCTAAAAGAAATCAAAAACTACTCAAAGTAATCTCCTAAAATGGCAAGGTAAAAAAATCTACCTCACTAACCCCAAAAAATTCTAGTTTACACTTCCCACTTGTTCACTTCACAATGTTAAATATTCTTCTTTTGTTTCAATTGATAAGTTTCCATCTTATCTCTTCACCTTCTTCTTCAAATAATGTTTATTTTCCAAATTTTCTTTAAATCTGTGTTTTAATGACTTATTTTTATTCTTCCTATGGTATCGCTGGGTCATTTTTTCCTCTCGGATTATGATCTGCTTCAGAAATTCTGTAGTATAAGTCTTCGCTTTTAGAGTACTTCCTGACGAATTTCTTTATCTTGCTTCAGTACTTCTTCTATTCATTCAACACCTTTTTATTCTGTAATACTGCACTAATCGAACTTCTTGAAGGTTTCTCGAATTTTCTTCTTTCATCTTTAATTTTTACCTCCTATTTCAACTACTGCTATTCTTTCTGCTTGTTACACCTTAAGTTTCCAACTTAGTTCTTGGTTCTAAGGAGATCTTCATAATTTTAATTAACGTTTTTTCTAATACTCCTCGCTTCTAACATCTATTATCTTTATCTAGATCTCCTACCCAGTCCAACTTTTCTGAAATAGATTGGATGACTCTTTAATATTTATTTTTTTTCATATTCAAATCCCTCCAATCTTTTTGATTTCTTTGGACTCGCTCTGTTCTATACCGTTCTCGTCTCTTCCTCTAATGTAATTCACCTGTCTTTTATTATTTTGTTATTCGTGACTCTTTTTTCTTCTTAATTTCTTAAATTGGTCTTTCTTCTTCATTTGGAACTTGAATTTGTTCTTATCGGAACGAAAATTTGTTTGGAAAGACACTTTAGAACCTTGACATTTTTGTTCGTTGACCGCAAGTATGTACACAACAAATTTCGCGGAATTCTCTTCATTTTTGTTGTGTAGCCATTTTTTTTTCGAATTTTCAAAAATTAATTTCAGATTGGTGATTTTCATGTTCACCACCCAATTTTTTTACATACTTATATGTAACACCCTATATAATTCATAAAATCAATTTATCTATTGAAGAATTCTACAAGTTAGAATGAAGGATAATCGTAAACTTGATAGCATTGGATATAAATCTATTGTAAGTTATAGAATGTGTTAATAATTTCATAAGTCGAAACTTTTAACGAAGCTACGTTTTTTGCATCCTGGTCCCAGCACCACGTCTGTGATTGCTGCTCCGTGCTTTTTAACTTGCAACATACCTATTCAATATTCATGTTTAAGATTGCGACAAAAAGCACATGCTCGCTTTTGGTTTTTCAATCTGTCAAACGGTTAAAGCAACCTGTGGACAATAAGGTATTATCTTTGTGCAAATGCTTGTGCGTTAAAACGGAACATGAAGATCTTAATTCAATTTGTGTCGACTTTACGGAATTTCTACCAACTCAAAGTCGCTAATTCACTTAGTTTGTTTCAGAATTTTGAGATGTGGATTGACAATAATTTTCAATGTAGAACGTCAGACAACGCAGTTCCGCACCTTGTGTTCATCATGTGAATTTCCAATTCAAAAGTAATTTAAATCTCTCTAAATTGGAAAACACTTTGTGCGTAAGTTGGACGATTCATTAGAATACGCTTGTGTTAACTAAATTGGAGCTCCTCAGACAATGTTCTAAAATTACTCAACTTCTTGGATCACAATTCCTTTGGTAACATTTCATTTATGGCTTCACAACCACGTGAATTAAAGCCCTCAATAAAAGACCGAACGTTCTAGCTTTCTCAAGGCCATTTTTGGGATTTGAATTCTAAATCGTAGAAAGTGTATTTTTAGAATCAGCCATATTTCCAAATGTCAACAGTAGTTGAAACGTACTGTTTCAAGAAAGAAAGGAAAATCTGTGCTAGTTCAGGGTTTTGTAAATGAAACGAAATTGATAAATATTTATAACGCATCTAATGAAATATTGATAGAAGGTTACCAAATTCAATGTCCAATGTATTTTATTCGGTGATGGTATGTATTTAAACATAAAGCTGGGGAGATTTACCCCGGTCGGCCGTTTTTATCGCACAAGAAATGTAGTTTGAACCCCTATTACCTATATGTTTTAAAGATTTATTCCTTCTAGAGATATTTTTTGATCTTATTAGTGCAAAGGTGACAATATTGTATGACAAGCCTATACGCGTTTTCATTAAATATTGAAAGTGGCGAGGATTCATAGCCATAAAACCTCCGTCATTATGCATATGTAGGGGAGTGAAGGGCTTATAAAAAATACCTTAAAAGCTTCCATATCTGGCGCAGGCGTTACCGTCACGGCACGTAAAAGCGTCGGTTTGCCGCCGTAGCCTCAGTGGCACCGCGACGTCAGTGCGTCCCCACGACGAACGGTCACTGTGTCTCATCGCGCTTTTACGTCTATTCATTTACGCACGCTAGAAACTTTGCTGTACTCTCAAATAAGGTAGGAGAACGATGATCATTTCGATTCTGTTTCGCCATTAACATTTCAGCGCTGTATTTCTGGGGTCTCAATTATTAATTTAATTAAAAAGTAAAAGTATTCTTAACCGAAACTTTCCTTCGCATCTCATGCTACAATGATGACGCAAACTTTGGTTACAAATTTAGACGAAAGCTTCATGTATTTTCGATTACAACGTTCGCAACTTCCACCTTTAAAAGCTCCAATTGTATTAAGATCAAGGTTTAGCGTAAATATTTAATCATATCATTATGAAAGTGCCTTTTAAGTTTACGAAAATTTAATATTCATGATGGAAGCAATATTCGTAATTACAATGCAATGTTACCCCCAACGAGCATTTGAAAATATTAATATGCTGTTGAGAACGTAATGGACATATTAGGCTGTTGGCTAATATAGTTATACAAAATAAATGGTAAAGTATATTAATAGTACTCAATCGAATAATCAATAATTAATTTTATATTATCGCGTGATAACACACGTGGTAGTAATTAATACTTACATACCGAATTACGCAGAGCATTGTTTCGTTACAATATAGACACATAGTTATGTTTGGAATAGGTAGGTACATATAGAAGTTTAATATTTACATTTTGTAAATAATAAATACTTTCATTATGCACTCGTACATTGCTGTGTACATTGTGCAATCGAATAGGCGTGTCGGTCTACGGTTATTTCCGTACTTTTATTAAAAAAAGGATTTCTAATCATTCTGTAAACGATATAATACTGGATGCGGCAAAAGTCTGGTCTATGGAACTTCATTAAATTAAATATTAAAGTCAAGATTTTCTTATGAAAAATGTTCTGAATTTTGGAAATGTGATCTTTGTGGGTCAAAGAATTGTATGTGCATATTACTTTTCAAAATTTAGGTTTGTTATACCCATGTCCAAAGTTATTCACATATATTTTGATAAATTGAGGGTATCCATGCAGAATGGAATCAAAGAAAATCTTTTTTAATCACGTTTTTTATTAGGTCCTGTTGCGGCTATCGATTTCGACCTATAAGGTCATCTTCAGGGTCGAATCGATAGCCGCAATAGGACCTAATACAAAACGTGTTTAAAAAAGATTTTCTTTGATTCCATTCTGCATCACACAACACGTTTAAAATAAAGAACGATGGAACAATACATCAACTGAGGGTATCCATGTTTTCTTGAACTCAAAATGGGGTGGACATTGAAGAAATTAGGGTGGAATTAAAAACTCAAAACCTTCCCCATGCGTCTAAATTTATTGATTAAATTGTGGAATAAATAGTTGCGACTAGTTTCGACGTTACCGTTATCTTCTGGCTTTAAAATTAAGGACTAACATTCTATGTTTCCCTAAATGGTAGAACGAGTAGTTACATATTGAACAAATCTAACCTTAGAACTAGGTGCATGGGGAAAATAACATAAGGATTAAAACATTAGTAAGGACAGCTACGTTACAAACGAAAAAATTGACCAAAAAGGTCTCTTAAACAATTTAATTTATACACAGTTCGTCATGACAATGTGAGAAGGCGGAAACCAACGCCATAACCATAGTTATGGGGAAGGTTTTGAGTTTTTATTCCACCCCAAATTCTTATATTTTGATAGGTGGTAAGAAAAAACCTAAACAAAGCACATAATAGCCCCATTCTGTCTTACAGCTGCAGGAAAACAGGACGCAAATTTTGGACCTTTGGGGGCTTTTCATTTACACTGATTTACTGAAAAAAGTGTTTACTTTGGTTCTCCCACTAATCCGTTTTTGTTACATTTTACATAGGTATACAGGGCAAAAATTTTGTTTGGAACATTAACTTAAATTGAAGATTTATTCAGTGTTCCAGAGAAAATTTTCATCCTCACATAGATTTATTTAATATAATAATTTACACTAATAAACCTATGTTGAACACACAATTCGTAATTGCATCCATAAAAGGTAAAGGGTAGGCGTCCTTACGCCCTATTACACTATCTCTTTACGCACCGTGATTTTTTAATGATATTTATTTATTTGTGTTAGCAACTAAACGACTTAAGGTTCAAGTGTTAATTTTCACGTTTTTTAGACAGAAAGTGGTAGAAAGGTTCGAAATGTTTACTAAAATGAAAAGACAGGAAGGTTTTAAGTCTAATAATCAATAATTTTGAATGAACAATGCAGAAAATGTTAATGAGCGAGATAATTTGCTGCGTGAATCCACTAACACAAAATATTATTGCAAAAACATGTGTAAATCGAAACTCAGAGTTTCTTGTTAGCAGGGTCCCACCCCTGGGACGGGTGACTGGGCCCTCGTGCGAGAAATTCAAGCGCAAAGTTTCTGAAGATCAACCACAGTTTTCGATGTCGTAACTATTTTAATTACAGTATTTCCCATCTCTGGTATTGTTTCTGAATTGTTAATAGTTTTGCAAAATGCCCTAAAAAGTATACAGTTGCACGAGGGGTTCCAAAGCCATATGTATGTAAATAGGAAAAAACTTTTTGAGAGTTCATTGCGGAAGTTACATTGTTACGCCTGGTATCTGCAGTTTATTATATTCTGATCTTTTTAGAATAGATAAATCCTTTGGCCATTTAACTTTACTCCATCACGCACCTTGTTACTTATGTAACCACGCACGTTCTCAAACGTATGTTTTTTATATTATGCGGCGATGTTGAAGGAATAAGTTTCTACTTGCTCGTGTTGAACTATTCGACTGTCGCATTTCAGTTTTATACAGTTCTATCACGATTTTACTGTAGAACATCACTTTAGCTTTTTAAATTTGCCCTTATTATAACCTCCTTTTTCTCTTTTTCGTCAACGTCAAAGATGAGTTTGTTACGTCCTTGTACAGGGTGAGTCAACGATTGCGCGGAGTAACTTAATCCTTGAAGATAAGATTTTTCGATAGAGTGTTTTTGTATTATGATATGGTTGAATATTCTCCGCATTTTAAAAATATTTGGAATTATACAGGGTTCGCCCACAAAGTAGGGCGCCCAAATAGTACATTTTTTTAAATAGAACCCTCTGTATTTGAATGCATTTTTGAGTTTTACGTGTAATTGTCTTTTTTATTTGGTTAATATCCGAAAAGCTAATAGTTTTAAAGATAATTCGATTTTTAAGGAAAATTGGGCATTTGCAAGCGTCAGTATATTGTCAAAATTATTACTTAAATTTTGATTCCAGGTTTTATATTTTTATCCTGAGTTAAGTAAAAGTCAAATAAATACATCTACTATGAAACATTAAAAATATAGCTTACAGGGTGTTTTTTTGGTAGGTCCAAAGTTGCAGAACTTCATATTAAAAAATCTCACTTTTTTTAACGGAACACCTTGTATATTTTTCTATCATCTTTTAGCTCCTCCAAAAACCTTCAACTTTTGATGATAATGTCCTGTACCTATCTGCTATTTTTCCAAATATCTTTACATCAATATTTTTGCGCCTGGCTACATTTGCACCGCTCATTGGTGCTTTTTAAACTAATGCCGAGATTGATAGAAAATAGAAATTGAAACAGCCTTGATTTAATTTTATTCTCACTCGTGCATTATATTTTCTTGGTTCAGAATTGGCAAAAATTTAAATCGAAATAAAGCTTTGAAATACTTCTCATAGTGATAGAAAAAGATCTATTCGTCAATTATGTTCTCCTAGTAGCAAGAAAAAAATTTACAAGAGTTTGTCGACAAATACAACGTGTATTAGGAACAGAACGACCCCTTCGTGCATTATATTCTCCTGATACAGAATTGGAAAAGATTTAAATCGAAATGATGATCGCTTGAATTTCGCCCGCAAGGTTTTAGTATTTTTTGCATTGTTAGATTGACGGTTTGAATTTCGTTAGTAATTTTGTTCTGTCATGACTGTCATTTAAGAAACCAGTGTCGCTGTTAATTGTTGTGTGCCATTTGCGGTTTATTACTTTTTCCATTTTGAACAATTTTTAGAGTTGATGCACTAAAATATGTAAGAAACGTGACTGCGTGTAGTGTTAGTTTATAATTTGTGGTAAAACAGAAGCAATATTTGTAGATTATAAATAAGTAAACGATTTACTGAAAGCATGATGATACACCACTGCAATTAAATAAATGATCATCAATTAGTACCAACTTCATAATTTTTTTGATTTGCGGGAAATTCAAATTGTCCTCACTTCTAATGAATCACCCGGTACTTCTGATAGTAATAGATCTCTTCGTCCATTATGTTAATCTCCTAGCAGCAAGGAAACATTTACCAGAGTTTGTCGACAAATACAACGTGTATTAGAAACAGAACCACCCCCTCCTGCATTATATTCTCCTGGCACAGAATTGGAAAAGAATTAAATCGAAATAAAGTTTTGAAATACTTCTCATAGTGATAGAAAAAGACCTCTACGTCCATTATGTTCTCCTGGTAGCCAGAAAAATGTTTGATAAGTTTGTCAACAAATAACAGGTGTATTAAGGAAAAGAAAAGCTCTGTAACAGGTGTATTAGGAACAGAAATACCTCCTCATGGAGCTATTATACCGTCCAGAGAACGAAGGAACACATTGACACCGCAGAAACCAATAAGGGAGTTTTCACCTACTAGTTTTAAAATTAGAATCGTATGCGGTCTAGGGTAAATGCCGCCGATACGCTTGAACACACAGAAGTAACGGAAGTTGCCACATATGGAATGATCCTCGCCGTTAATATCTCGTTCGTGACCCGGTGACCTATTTCTGACACGGGTTTCACAGCAAAATCGTCGCTTGCTATCAGCTGATGTGGAGATGAGCTAAGGGCGTCGGAGCGTAAGTGTGAGTTTAACTCAAGGTTATAAGACTTGTACGTCGAACAAGAATTGGTATCTAACGTAAAACGTGTATGGAACTAAAAAGAATCAAAGGTCCCTTCCCCCTTCTTTGATGATAAAATTGACCTACCTCATAGATAAGAGGGCTAATGGTAGATGTCAATGGAAATTTCAAATTACA